TTCAGAGATCTGGCATTGGTATTCACTGTTCATATTCCAAACATACTGCAAACATGATTTATAGTATTCCTGGTTAATGGGTTCATCATACCATTCCTCAAACATACAATGATTTCCGTCATTGCGTTCAAACCTGTGTAGACACATCCAGTATCTGCGCCCAATATTACCATCGGACCAACATGCCCTCATAATCGCATGTTTGCCACAATAGCACCTTGGTTGGTCATTGCATCCAGACATTTGTTAATGCAAGAAAAATAAAAAATATATGGAAAGTTTTACTATTTGTTTTGGTTAAGCGCAAATAATAACTAAAATGTGCTAGTTATTTATAGGTAAGACAACCCATATAACATAGTATTTAACTGCGCTATGCTTCGCATGTTAAAGATTCTTTCGGGTACAATACAACTTTTCCAGAAGATAGCTTTTGCAGGCAAGCATCTTTTCAGATCGACAAGACAATACACATAACGTAATATTTAACCGCGCTATGCTTCACGTGGTAAAGATTCTTTCGGGTACAATACAACTTTTCCAGAAAATAGCTTTTGCAGGCGAGCAACTTTTTCAGGTCGACAAGACAACACACATAACGTAATATTTAACCACGCTATGCTTCGCGTGTTAAAGATTCTTTCGGGTACAATACAACTTTTTCAGAAGATAGCTTTTACAGGCGAGCAGCTTTTTCAGGTCGACAAGACAACACATATAACATAGTATTTAACCGTGCTATGCTTCGCGTGTTAAAGATTCTTTCGGGTACAATACAACTTTTCCAGAAGATAGCTTTTGCAGGCGAGTAGCTTTTTCAGGTCGACAAGAAAATTTTTTTTTTTAAAAATGGGTTTATGTTAGATTTTTGTACTGAAGTATTAATGTTAAATATCAATAGGATTTAACAGCAATGGAAACATAATTTTATTTCATACATTCTGCAAGATAACTAAGTACATACACTTATTACAACCACATTACGGAAACAAAACACTACGTATATCCTTGATAATTGGGCACATTAGATGAATTTCCACCAGGAGATGGATTACCACCGCCACCCAAACCAACTGAAGGACATTTACGACGGTCGTGTCCTATTTGCGAGCATATGCCACATTTGCGAGCATAAACGGTATCACTAACATCCATTTAGTTTTGTATACTTGTTTTTTTTTGCACTTGTCGCTGACGCAAAAACTCCTTGTTACACACCGTTTTAAATGGTTTTGGCGGCCAATAATGCTCAGCACCTACTGGCTGCAACTGCCCACTATAGGTGTTTAAGTATGCAATAATACTATATTCTTTATCAACGTAGTTGGTTGGCCCTAAACCTGTATGTTGAAAGCACTTGATGTCATGTGAGCACGTCATGTGGTAGATGGACCATTTTCCACAAGAGTATAACCTTCTGGATTCATTTATGGTGTGTGTATTATTCCCCCGGTTGTGATGGATAGCGGTGCGAACTTCAAAAATATTTCGTTCGTTGCAATACTACAAAAATGAATGCCAATGTGCTCGCTTCCTGTATTTCTCAAATCTTTTCATTGGTATTGGCATAAATTCAACACCCCTTTCCATCAATGATGATATACCTGTAGCCCTTTCAACAAACCTTTCCTCCATCAGCTTGAATTACATCCGCACCATGGCAGTGACAGGAAATCCTCGTGCAGACTTCAATAACCTATTGAAAGACTCTGACACATTTGTAGTCAGAATTCTCCATCTTCTGCCACTATCCGCATGCAAAGTCCACTTGTCAAGCTCATGTCACATCAACCAACGATAGGCTCCCTCGTCTTCCTGCCTGATAGATTCCATGCGACTCCTGAATTTACACTCTTGGTGATCTGTTGCAGCCATCCATATTAAATCATGCAAATCTTTGTTGGGATATGCCTTTTGGAAATTGGCCTTCAGGTGCCTCACACAGTAATGGTGGTAGGCATACGGTTCCTTCCATGCACGTAAATTCTGTACAGAACTTAAAATACCACCATGCCGATCAGGTATTAGACAAATACCTGAACGCTATTTGATAACGTGCTCTTTCAAGTGGTTCAAAAATAGTGTCCACGTCTCTTGGCTTTCATTGGCACAAATAGCAAAAGCTAAGGGAAATATACTTACATTAGCATCTACTGCAACGACGATCAACAATTTAATATCATACTTTCCATAGACATGAGTGCTGTCTATGGATATTACCGGCCGGCAATGAACAAAACCATTAATTGCTGGTTTAAATGCCTAGAACATATATCTGAATATATATTCTGGAATTCCCGAACTCTGCTCAAGCTTCCATTCAACAACAGTCCTGGGGTTAAAGTGTTGCAATGCGGCCATGTACCTGGGTAGAGATGCAAATGACTTACCACAATTACCATAAATAATTTCAAACGCACGTTTGTGCCCGAGAAATGCCTTTATTTTGGTAATGGTGCACTCATATTCCTGGTGGACGGATGTAATACACTCTATGATCTTGTACCTTATGGACGCTTCAATGTATGGAATCAAGACAAAGGAAATCATGTCAACATCCAAGTTGAAGTGATTCCCACTGAATGTGACCATTTCACAATTATGGGTGCCAATGTATTTACCCACAACCCACATAATTGTTTTCTTCTTCTTCGCACGTAGCATCCAATTACAACCCTAAACCATCTACGGCAAACAACCTTGTATATATCTGGAGTTGACTTCCATACCGTCATATCACGGCACTCTTTTACGCTGTACATTTTCACTGCCCTGCTTAGGCGCGCTTTATCAGGAAAAAGCATGCCCTTTGACAGCACCGTTGGTCTAGACTCATCTCACATTGCTGTCCGAATTTCGTCAGTAACCCTTGTGAGGTCATCCACATCCGGCATACTTGGCAAATGATCAAGGTAGGGAATCTCCCTTGAATGAAACGGCACGTGGGACTCGTACACTCTTGGTCTAATGGGGGGTATAGCATGCTCCCTCATCAAATCAGGTCCAGCATTCTCTTTCTCCTCATCATCATCCTCATCAGGGAAGGGTGTGTCATCTCCGGACTCATCGGTATTGTTATCATAATCACTGTTCTCTTCCTGATTCTGTGCATCTGCCAGATCCCAATTAAATATGTTGTCTTCGGGCAATTGAGTCAGGACAGGACGTTCAAGTTGCTCGTTTTCACTGCACAACCAATAAAATAATGAGTTACTCAAATTGATAAATACGTTACATATAACTATATCACTTCACTTACAAATCGTAATGTGTTGACATCCCATGATGGACATCATCCTGTTGGTGATGACTCCCGGATGGACCACCAAGATCCAACACACCATAACTACGTATATTCCAACTGGGTGTTGGTTCATAACTTGTAAAATTCATATCTGGCCGGTACTCCCTATGGAATATATGAGTGTTAATACAAATTCAATACAGCAAAAATAAACATCGTAACACAAAGAAAAATTGAAGTTTACCACTCGTCTTGTGGATCATGTAAAGTAGGAGAGAAATTATTTCCTCGCTCCTCATTCGCCCGTGGAGATAAGTTTAGATCAGGCCAAACTCTTTTAGCCGGAACCTGTTCGGCTAAAACTGCTCCAAAATAACCACCCGATGACTGAGGGATATCCCTGCTTTGCGCAACCTTATTATTGCGAACGTCTTCAGCCTTGACGTACATTTCTAACATTTTTATCAAAAGAAATTCCCGGTATTCATCCGGAGTCCTCAAAACATCACTCAGAGTTTCATCATCCTCGACGTTAAACTCAGCATAACAAGCAACCCCTTGCGGAGTGACAGAATACAGATATCTTCCGGTTACTTTAAGGTTCACTCAACATTTGCTCACACTCATTTTTTTAAATAACAACGATACTAATCTATCATACTCCATTGTAAGTGGCAACTTAACATGGCACTGTGGAGAACAACTATAGCGTACTGAGTTATTTTCCGCCACAACCTCACCCCCCAATATGATGAAACCCTAATTCTTCGCTCTTCAGACATTATGACAAAATGCAAAACAACTTAACGAAGAAAAATTTAACAAGACTTGAGAGTTTTTTTGAATGGAGTTTTACAAAATTCTTAACATCTTTAAATAAGGTAATGCCCAATCCCAGGGGTCGAATTTTTTGAGGTATAGCGCCTTAAATAAGGGCGCTATACCCATTTGAATTATTGTTATGTCAGTTAAGCGCAGAACAATTATTGGTGGGCCCAAAAAATATGTATAGCGCCTTAATAAACAACGCTATACTAATTCAAATATAGCGCCCTTTAAAAGGGCGCTATACCTTAACGAGCAAACAACCGTTAAGGTATAACGCCCTTTAAAAGGGCGCTATTTGTATTTTGGTCACTAACTTTTTTTCACCTATTTTTGTGTCTTGAGTCCAAAAACTCATTATTTTGGTTCCGGCCTCCCATAGACAACTAGATCAAATCTTGCCAAATGCCAATGCCAGCTGAAGAGGTTCATCAAATGGTTAGGATGGAATTGAGTCCATCATTTTGCGCACTCTCCTTATAATTTAGCCCGAGAAAAGTGTAATTAGTATTGGCAGGCAATCATGACTAATTATCAAATTGCTGATTATTGCCAGCAAAATTCTAGAGACATGGATTGTTTGAGTTCTTGATTTAAAGATGAACTTAGATTGCTTAAGGTTTCATTTTCATGATCCTGTGTCAATATTTTCATATATATATAGTAAAGCTAAATTGCTTACACGGGAGCCTTTGCAGCGTTTAACGGGATAATCTTTAATTATTTAGTTTTTGTCCGGGCAACGAGTAAATCTGGATTAGAAAGCTTGAAAATTTCTTACTACAAATATCTATTTTATAATCTATCCCTACCATTTCAAAACAAAGTGAAATTAAACTTAGCATATACTAGCTCTCATTGGCAGATGATTTATATGGCCACAACGTTATTGTTTTAACTGCATATATAGTTGGACTATGATGTATGGAAGAAACTCAAAAATTTGACCTTGACAATACTCAATGAATCAGCAATAGCAATAGGCCAAGTGTATACTGCTCTTAAAATGATTAAATCTCTTCTATTTACAGTTCAAATTCATAACCTGCTAAGGAAAAAAAAGAATCAAAATCTTGTATTCTACAATCTATCAAAGAACACTAAATCGAAACCTAGGCTTCAACAGGACTTCCATGTGAAGATCTGACCCTGAAGACATGCTCTTCCCCTGTGCATTTATCTACTTTGACAATCCAGCGGCTCTTTTTCCCTGAAACGCCAAAGCTACTGCCTTTCTGCGTCATTCTAGTAACCAATAAGCCTTCTCCTATGGGTAACAAATGAGCATTAAGGCTTTGGCATCTCCATGAGCCCATTCGCAACGCATTGTACCCCAAAATTAACGATGGCAATTTCCCCGATTCTTCGTGCTGTTTTAAGAATGCCTTTACAGTTGTTGATGTTACCGTCAATTACTATACAATCTGCTCTTCTGTAGTCATTTATTACTAGAGTTTTGGCATCTCCAATGACAAACTCAACATGTCTCGCGTTATCGTGTAGAAATTCTAGTGATGGATTTAGTTTGTCAACACCACTAAGGATGCAAATGACTGTGCCACCAGTTTGCTGGGCTGCAGCCACTAGGGCTAGTGTGGTGGAGTCAGATGCACAAGCACATGCAACAACCATCAATTGCGAGTTGTTTCCTGCAGCAAGTGCTGAGATGAATTCTGATACATCTGGCTCTTTAGCTCTCTTTTCCTGGCAAATACAAAATATACAACATGAGAAACACAAAATTTTGGAATTTGTTGAGTGAAATAATATTACTAAGTAGTACAAATTGATCAAACAAAGGCAAGCAGTGAAGTTGTACTAACCATTTGTATTGCTCTGAGATAGGCTTTGGTTGCACTTTCAGCTGACCAACAGGCCATTTTGCTCCCTGTATACTTGTTTTTTCTTTGAAGGTGATGAATGCCTTGTATATTGTTGGCCAATATATAACAAAAGAAGAAGCTGTAGAAATGGTGTCATATCCAACAGGAAATATCCATATATATGAAAGAAAAAAAATGCAAAACAGGGATAACATACAATTTAAAAAATGATAAAATCGTGATGAAGGTAATTTTCACTCGTTTAACTAATGTGTATCTAATAATTAATGGTCGATTATTTTGGTTAAGATTACACAGCTGTGCAATAAATTTTCGCAGTTCCCAAATACATTGCTCTTCGCTGTACTGTTCAGCATCATGAGGACAAAAATGAAAATTTTAATCCTTCAACTAGGATTATTTGAATCAACTTGCAAATATCAATAAGGTCTACGTAGAGACGAAACTGATCAGAACCATGTTAGTCCTAACACCCTTCCAGCAAACTTCTCGTATCGTTCAAGATTCGAGTTTACTACTTGAATTAATATATTATCTAATTGGGTTACTGCCTCTTAGGTCGTGGTCCTTTGGAGCACGATATGGTACAATTGTTGGATTATATATTGCAGCGGAAGCCATCTCACAGTATCATATTTACGTATAAATTAAACAATTAAAGATTATACGAGTTGCCTCTTGAAGCGTGAACAAAGCAGACAAATCTCGGTCTCCAGTTCCAGAGTATCAAGACCGCGACCTCAACAAAACGTCCCATAATCTTCTACTGTGTTATCCAAATAATATCCGGAAAGAAAAAATTTCGGGTGAGCGAAATTTCAAGGAAAAAATGATTACCAAAACGGCCAACCCTATATGAGATATATATATATATAGCCACGTTTTGAGGGTAAAACCTTTTTCCAAAACCTGTTTGGTTTTCTTTTTTCCAAAAGGAAATGTTTCCTTTATTTTCTAGTATTATTTAGGCACGGTAGAGACCACATAATTTAATTAACAATGCTCTATATTATAGAATTAATTTCGAATTAAATTAATTTTTACTATAATATATTATGAATTATTTCACTAAAAATTCGTAATTGCACTCCTTAGTTCAATTTCGAAATTCTTCCATAAAACCTTATTTAAATCCCCATGTTAAGATTCAGATACAATCAATCAAATTAAATTACTAATAATTTAATTTATTGATTACTTCTGTAAGACATTCGCTTAACTTATTTCATGTGTCGGATACAAAATTCACCGGTCGGGTTTACACATGAAAACTTATAAGCTTTCATAAAGGAGTATCATCAACCTCATAAAGCGAGACGTGGATTCTATCAACTAATTATTACTTCGTCAATGTATGTCATTATTGTCCAATTTACTAGGCTTATTGACCCATGAAAGAATCTCGCCTTTTAATAAGTCAAAATAATACATGACACACACAACTAATAATAATTATATCAGGATTAAGAGTATAAGTATGTTGAATGGACTAGAGAAATTATTTTATTAAGTCAGTATAAAATACTTATCTCTACTTGATCCTTTTAATACATACAAAATGTACTAGCACAAGAAGTCGGAATTAAACCATTCCCATAATCAAGATAAATTATATTTAATCTTGTGCTACAACCATTCCGATGGTTTGTCCAATTCCATCATTAGATTGTGTATATAAACTTTATCACTTATAAGAATCGATGATTTAATCTTCCGTGTATAAGCTAAACTTTATACACTAAATCATCTACTATATAAGCAAAGGACACACAAACAAATGGATGATCTATTTAAAATAAAACTTTATTGAATTGAATAAATAAATAAACAATTATTCCATAAAGAATACTATAACAATACACATCGTTTATAGTATATCCTAACAATAGTATCCTTCAAGAAATAAGGATTAAAAAATGAATTTGATCTGGATTTTAGGTTAATTATCTTTGAGACTGGGACAAGAGTGGGTTGCTCCAGTAGTAAGCACCCTCCACTTCCAACTAAGAGGTTGTGAGTTCGAGTCACTCCAAGAGCAAGGTGGGGAGTTCTTGGAGGGAGGGAGCCGATGGTTTATCGAAAACAGCCTCTCTATCTCAGGGTAGGGGTAAGGTCTGCGTATACACTACCCTTTCCATACCCGACTAGTGGGATTATACTTGGTTGTTGTTGTTGTTGTTGTTATATCTTTGAGACTGGACAATGGCTTATTTTGCTTCCTCTTTAAAAAGATGAGCGGATTCAAGACAAAGCAATGTGTACCCCCAACGGCAGAGCACTTATAACCTAGGCAAAGACTAGGTTGGATTGTTTATGTTTTTCTTAAATGCATGTCTAAGATTTTCTAGTACGTACTACGTTTTTGTCCTTGGTAGATGGGAGGAAACGCAAAGTTCCACCTTCCACAAAATGGGAGGGGTAGTTTCATCAGTAGCTATTATTATCGCACTAATATCATGACGGAAAAATTAACTCCAGTGTATATGTTATATCTAACAGAAAATAAAAACACCAAGACAATGCTAACTTTGGTCCGTAAAAACACGAGTAGATAAATAGATTGGAAGGACTTTGATTTAGTGTTTATTATTATTAAATTATGATCGGGCTTGTTTGGACATTAGATCATATTGCTTTAATAAGTTTCAATTGTCATCTTATTTGTCAATCGATATACCCAATAATAAAATCTCTATCAAATTAAAGGGACTTATAAAGTAATCGAATAACATTTTTGTTTTGTATTTTTTTAAATTATATTTCCAATGTTTATTATTATTATATTGTTAATAAAACTTTTTATTAGCATATTACTTTGTTTAATAATTATCCTATGTTTTATTACTTTTGATTTTTTTTTTAATTTTGAAGTTTATTATATCGTTCTCAATAATATTTTCTTAAATTTAATGAATAAAATCTCTATTAAATTAAAGGGACTTATATAGTCATCAAATAACTTTTTTGTTATGTATATTTATTTATTATATTATCCAATTTTAGTATTATTATATTGTTAATAGAAATTTTTATTAGCATATTACTTTGTTTAATATTTTTGTCTGCTACTTTCTTTTTATAATATAATAGATGATATATATTTTATTACTCTTAAAATAATTTTTTTAATTTTAAATTTTATTCTATTGTTCTCAATAATATTGTCTTAATTTTAATGAATAAATACACTTTTTATTTATAAAAACGAAAATGATTTAAACAAAAGAAATAAAGAAATTAACTAACCTAAACCAACACTCACCCATGTTTGAGTAGTTAGTTTTAGGTAGTTAATTTATTTATGTCTTTTTTTCATTTTCTTTTTTTTTTTTGATATAATTTTTGAATCTCCAAATTTGTAGGAGGTTTGTAATGACCCGACCGGTCGTTTTGCTTTCTAGGTCCTCGTTCCCCTAAATAAGACTCCTCGTATGTACTTTTACTGTTTTATGACTTGCGGGGATGGTTAGTTCGAAATTCGGAAGGGTTCGGGTTGAAATCGAAACACTTAGTTCCTTAAGGTTGGCTAAAAAGATCTAGGTTGGACTTGAGTCAACATTTTGAGTAAACGACCTTGGAACAGGTATTTGACGGTTCTAATAGGTTCGTACAATGATTTTGGACTGGGACTTATGTGCAGATCGGGTTTTGGATGACCCAGGAGCATTTCGACGCTTAATATAGATACTTGGCACCTTGAAGGTTTTAAAGTTCTTTAAATTTGGTTTGGAATAGATTTTTGTGTTATCGAGGTTCGTTTGGGATTCCGAGATTGGGAATAGTTTCGTATAGTGATTTAAGACTAGCACGCAAAATTTGAAGTCATTCCGAGTAGTTTAAGTATATTTCGGCGCGTTCGGAGTAAGTTGAAAGAATTTGGAATTCCTAAGCTGAATCTTGGTTTGGGTTGTGATCTTTAGTGTTGATGTTGTTGTCCGCGTTACGAAGTGCGAGCGAGTCCGTTTTATGTTTACGAACTTGTTGGTATGTTTGGTCGAGGCCTCGGGGGCCCCCGTACAGGATTCGGAGGGTCGACGGGGCTTGTTAGCTCTTTGGAGAAGAGCTGCTGGTGCCTGTCATCTGGTGCATTCGCACCTATATTGGAATGGCCGCAGAAGCGGCACCGCAGATGCGACGCCTTGCTCGTAGAAGCAGAAAGAGGAGGGGTCAGCGAGCTCCGAATAAGCGAAGCATTTTTCACTGAAGTGAACTCGCTTCTGCGGTGGAGGGGTTCGTAGATGCGGACGGAGGTAGCCTAGCCATGGTCGCAGATGCGCGAGTCGAGCCACAAAGGCGGGATCGCAGATGTGGGACTTGGCCGCAGATGCGATGGTCCAGTGGTCAACCGTGTTCCGCAGAAGCGGAAAGTTGACCGCAGATACGGTCCCGTAGAAGTGAAGGTTCTACCACAGGTGCGGAAATACTGCCAGGCAGAAGGGTTCATTTAAGTCGGGAGTTAAACCATTTTTTGACTCATTTCCTTCATTCATTGGGCGATTTTGGAGCTTTTGGAGAGGAGTTTTCACCTAGCACTTTGAGGTAAGTGATTTCTATACAATATGAGTTTAAAACATATATTATGGGTAGATTTTAACATGTAAAATTGTAAAAATCATGGGTTTAGATGAATAACCCTAGGTTTGATAAAACAAAAAGGGATTTAACCATGAAAATGGTTATGAGATTGAGCAAAAATTATATATTTGAGTTCGTGAGGTTATGGGTAACAACTTTCTTAAAAATTTTCGGAATCTTGGCACGTGATCTCGGGGATGAATTTTATGAATCTTTCAATTGGGGTTGGGTAATCACTCTAATAGTTAAAATATGAAGTTTTGAACATGTATTGATTAATTTATGTAATATTTGACTAGTTTTGGATTGATCGGCACCGAGTTGAGGCTTTAGAACGAAATTGTGACCGGAAAGTGAGCCTTGAGACGAGGTAAGTCTGTTGTCTAACCTTATAAGTGGGAACTTGCCCCATAGGTTATCTAAATTAATATTTGCTTCTAATTGTGGGGGCTATGTACGCACGAGGTGATGAGAGTCCGTGCGTCGCTACTATTTATGCTTATGTTCGGGTAG